CCGCCTCCAACACCACCTCTCAGCTCGCCATCATCGGATCCAACCTCTGCCCTATCGAGAGCCTTGATTACGAGTCCGTACCAAACGAAAAAAACATCAAATCAAATCTTCAGTCTTTCTCTCTCTCTAGGATTCAACTAAAGTTTTTGATCTTGGTAAATTTGTGTAGGATGATTGAGAACGATGTGTACAAGCAGGACTGGAGGAATCGAGGGCGGGCCCACATTCTGAGATACGTGTTTTTGAAGTGGACTTTCTGCTTCTTGATCGGAATCCTCGTCGGCGGCGCTGGATTCTTTAACAATCTCGCCGTTGAGTACGTTGCTGGATTCAAGTATGTTCACGTCGCTGATTTGATGTTACAGAACAGGTGATTGTGGAATTAGGGTTTTCTTTTTTTTATCTCTCTCTCTCTTTTGTACCGTTTTGGTATGTGAACTTTTACGACCTGTTTGGATTCGTAGGGGGTGAAGGGAAGTTAAGGGAAACTGAATGAAGGGAAGGGAAGGGAAAGGAAGGGAAGGGAAAAGAATTCTCTTCCCCTTGGTTACACCCCAATTTGGGGGTAACAATTTTTATACTATTAGGGGGTGAACCAAGGTGAATGGAGGTGAATTAATTTCACCTCCTAAGTGTTCCCAAACAAGGTGAATGGAGGTGAATGGTTCCCCTAACTTCCCTTCACTCTCATTCCCCTCAATCCAAACAAGCCCTTAAGTTGGATTAGTGTGAATAATGGTTTCTTTATCGTTAAAAGAAAAGGTTTTTAACTGCAAAAAGTTTTGTTTTTGCTCGCATAGACTATTAATAATGTAATATTGTAATTTATATAATAAAAAGGACCATATTTAAGATAAGATCCTTCATATATCTTTTTTTTTTAAATTGAGTTGATCTGTGGAATAGAAACAATCAACTCGAATTGTAAGTAACAATCCAGTTTTTGACTGACTTCTCTAAGTACATCACCAAATAATTCAAGAGTTATGGATTACTACATAACATTTTCTTATGTTTTGTATTAAAAAGTTCTTATAGTTTAAAAAGAAATAGTCTTTAGCAGAAAAGATCAATTTTGCCCGTGCATGTTTTTGATAAATATATAATTTCTATAATAGAAAAGGACCATGTTTAAGATCCCGATATTCAACTATAAGGTTGTAAGTTTTAGAGAGGGGAAGATACAGAAATAATGTTAATGCCCAGTGTACTTAATTCACTACTCCCCTCTTGAGCTGATCTAATTTGTGAACACCAACTTTACATCGCACTCCATTCTCAATCATCAAAAAGAAAACTAATTATTAGATGATTCAATGAGCTCCTTAGCACTAGTATTAGATTTTTCTTAGTAGATTTATATGTAGCTTTTGAGATTTAAACTACGACATCAAAGTTTAGAATTTAAACTTTTATTATCTAACATAATTAAGTACTTATGTTTTAAACTATAGTAGTTTGCTTTCTTTCTTTATGTTTTTCTGGAAGAATCATTATCCTTAGATTTGTGTATATTTACTTGGATATTTATCTTTTTCGTTCACATGCACGCATACACTGAAAATGCAAAATTGTTTAAATGTTCCTAGAAATGTTCTCAAGCATCCCATTATCCAAATTCTGGTAAAGTTAGGCCTATCTCCTTCGAGTCGTGTATTGTAGTCCCAGTTGTGCACCGGGTATCTATACCACAAAAATAAAGTGTAACACGCGTATGGTAACACTGGTTAATGTGTTGTTTGATTCTGTTCCGCTTGTGGTTGTCCTCAATGAGGTGCTGAATAGACAGAGGACCCAGCGTTTGAAATACTTCCCAGGCCATTTTACAGGCCTGGACAGACTACCGTGCATTTGAAATAGATGCTCAAGGAATGTCTCTCTCAAAAATACTTGGACAATCTTGTTTGCATGCATTGTTTAAAGCATTTTCTAATAGTTTTCTGTATTTTAGATTTGGGATGGCTTTTGCTGTTTTTACGATATCAAATTTCGTCCTTTTGATGGTGGCATCGATTATTACGGTTTATGTTGCTCCAGCAGCAGCTGGGTCAGGGATACCGGAGGTTAAGGCTTATCTGAATGGTGTGGATGCACCTGACATCTTTTCTCTCAGGACACTGATAGTAAAGGTAAGCAGACTCACAACTTCTCTTCATTGTTTTTACTCTTTATTTGTGGGTTTTACTCAACCAAATGAAAATTTAAGTGTTTTTTTGGAGAGCTGAAACATACTGAATAACATCAGTGACATTACTTAGAAGTTAGAACCAGGTAGAGGTAATTGGTGGGTTATGTTCTTACTTGGATTTATACTTCTCAGTACAGTTTGGATATAGGACCAAACAACTAAGTTACTCCGACACTCGTCTGGTCTCCTGAACCCGCGTCTGACACGAGTCTAGGCTTAATTAGCTACAGTACTAAACTGAATGTTATTTATTTTAAGATCATGTATAATACCGATGTTCATTATACTCGCATTCAAGTGAACATCCTACTCACCTTTTATATGTTTTTTATGCTTGTTTTCTTCTTCTTTAGCTCTGCAGTTAAGTTTATACTGGAAGCGTCTCACCTACACAATCTATACTTAGTAAAGGAGACGAACTGGCAGCATATTTGTAGTTAATACTTGGATACTTATGCTTGTTGGATTCACTTTTGATGTATTCTAAAATTTTCTGTGTGTCCAACATGTCATAGAGATATAATATAGATGCATTTGAGACAATGAAGTTAAAATCAAGTATTCGATAACTGGTTTCACAGTTGAATTATATGTAGATAGCATTGCCTTTATATATTTTATACAGTTTTTTAATAAGGAATATGATTGTTCATGTAGATTTGATTTATGTAAGTTGCGAGTGTTCTGTAAAAGTGCAAGATATTGTGCTCTCTTTAGCCATTTAATCCTACAAATCCATGACTTACAACTTATTGCTTCAGATAATGAACATCAGCATGGACGTGTATAATTTTGTTATGGTTGTACACATGCCATACCATATGGCCCATACCGATGCCAAGAATGTGAAAATAAGCAATATAGTGGTTTCCATATTGCTTCCTTATCATGTAACCCTTCCCATGCTTCGCTGGCCAAAGTACGAGAACCCCTTTCTGGAGAAGGCCATGCCATATGAAATCTATGATTTAGTTACGTAAAGTTAATAGGATAATAGGACATTACTTTTTCTTTTTTGTTGCTGTCGGAAGANCTGGAAGAAAAGTAGCTATAGCTTTTGCTCTATGTGGTCTCTTCACTATTTCAGTGATTAGACATGAAAGCAATTGGTGGTTCACTCTCACATCTTTTTAGCATTTTAAAGCTACAAAATTCTTAATTTGGAAAGAGGAAAGATTAGATAACTTCTTGGTCCCCACAACAGATTATCGCTAATGTTGCTGCTGTGTCCTCATCTCTTCACGTGGGCAAAGCAGGCCCAATGGTGCATACTGGTGCATGCATTGCTTCCTTAATCGGTCAGGGAGGATCACGGAAATATGGCTTGACATGTAAATGGCTTCGCTACTTCAAAAATGATAGAGATAGACGTGATCTTGTGACATGTGGATCAGGTGCTGGCATTGCTGCTGCTTTTCGTGCACCTGTTGGTGGTGTTCTTTTTGCTCTTGAAGCAATGTCATCATGGTATGATATAACTCACCACAATTTTTTTTGCTTCTTTATGACTGATTACTGTAGTATTTATTCTACATCAGAAAGGGAGCAGCTTATTTCGTATTATCTGTACAGAATATCAATGAGTATCATTGGTTATATAGCATTCAAGTGTTAACACATCAATAAGCATGTTCTTAGGATGTTTTCAATTGTTCAATATATGTTTTTTTCCTAGCAAACTTGCCTTGGTGTCCAGGTGAACTAACTTAACCTATTGGATTTGTCTTCGAGGTTTTATGCTTGACCGTTGTGACAGGCAGTCAGGAATATTGATCCACTTTTTGAGTGTTTTTGATTTATGATTTATACGCTTCATAGAGAAGTCTTTATGGGAAATTGTAGTGTGATGATAGATGTGTGAAGAGACTTCAAAAGAAAAGATGTGCCCTACAATTAGATGAGAGAAAACTGCATATTGCCAAAGCACACACTTTTATGCGAGGGAGGTTAGTTCTTTTTGCTGCTTCTACTATGCTTAAGAGACGTTCAGTAGAACTTCTCCCTTATATGGGAGAAGGCTGCAGGTATCTATTTTATTCAATTCCTCTTTCATTCACAAAAGGAAGAAAATAGAAATACTATGCTTAGGAGACGTTCAGTAGAACTTCTCCCTTATATGGGAGAAGGCTGCAGGTATCTATTTTATTCAATTCCTCTTTCATTCACAAAAAGAAGAAACTAGAAGTACAATAACAATAATAACTATTAAGTATGCGACAATCTGTTGCATCTCAATTATTTGACAACTTGACATTGCAGGTGGAGAAGTGCCTTACTGTGGAGAGCATTCTTCACAACAGCTGTAGTTGCTGTCATGCTTCGAGCACTAATTGATATTTGCAATAGTGGAAAATGTGGTTCATTTGGGAAGGGTGGACTGATAATGTTTGATGTTACATCAGATCATGTTGCATATCACCTGGTAGACTTACCCCCAGTTATCCTCCTTGGAGTAATTGGTGGAATACTGGGAAGTCTCTACAATTTTCTAATGGAGAAGGTTCTTAGGATATACAGTCTCATCAACGGGTATGTCTTTAACCTTCATCTTCCAACTTCATTTGTCATTTTGCTCATTTCTTAAATACCACTATTTTGGAAGAAAGTCCTGAAGGAAGATAACAAAGGATTTGAATTTGGATGTTCATTGACGTTTTTCAGTATGACGAATTTTAATTGGGATTTTGTTTTTTCTTAAATTATGGTTCAAATTGGAGCATATCAATTCTTATAAAAAAGTTAATGTAGCATTCATGTCACCCTTTACCAGCTGTTTTCAGTTCTGGCAGTTGTTGCTTTGCAAATTATTTAACTTGAGAACTGATAATGTAGTATGAAAACATATTGTGAAATTTGAAAGGTTAAAAAAAAAATCAAAAATGTAATAATTTTCTTTCTCAATGTGTAAACTAATATCATGTTATAAATGTATCAGCATTTCAACCGCCCATCAAAACCGTAAGCCAGTGGTGTTACTGAACGCAATTTAAAAGAATTAACCTAAAATTTCTTTCTTGCAAAAGTTTAATTCTTGATTCTGTAAACAATTTTAGACTCTCATTGTAAATTGTCAATCTATACGTTCTTATGTTTATTTTTCCACAGGAAATGTCGAGCCTACAAACTTCTGCTTGCAGCCATTGTCTCAATACTCACATCTTGCTGTCTGTTTGGTTTACCATGGCTTGCACCTTGCCAGCCTTGCCCTGCTGGCATAAAAGAAGCCTGTCCATCAATAGGCAAGACTGGCAACTTCAAGAACTTCCAGTGCCCTCCAAACCATTATAATGACCTCGCTAGCTTATTTTTCAACACCAATGACGACACAATCAGAAACCTCTACACTTCAGGCACAGATTCAGTCTTTGACAAGTTCTCCGTCCTTGTATTCTTCATCACTTCTTATTTCCTTGGTATCATAAGCTACGGAGTTGTAGCTCCTTCTGGTCTCTTTGTGCCAGTTATATTGATTGGTGCAACTTATGGACGATTTGTTGGAATTCTAATGGGCTCGCGCTCAACTCTAGATCATGGTCTCTTTGCTGTTCTTGGTTCAGCTTCTCTACTCGCTGGCACAATGAGGATGACTGTTTCTGTCTGTGTTATCATTTTAGAACTGACCAACAATCTTTTATTACTCCCTCTTGTTATGTTGGTTCTTCTTATATCAAAAACAGTGGCGGACTCATTCAATGCAAACATTTATGACCTAATTGTGAAATTGAAAGGACTTCCATATCTTGAAGCCCATGCTGAGCCATACATGAGAAATCTTACGGTTAGTGATGTGGTAACTGGTCCTCTTAGGATGTTTAATGGTGTGGAGAAAGTAGGAAATATAGTCCACATTCTAAAGACAAGTGGACATAACGGGTTCCCTGTGATCGATGAACCTCCGTTTTCTAATTCGCCTGTTTTGTTTGGTCTAGTTCTTAGAGCACATCTTCTTGTCTTATTGAAGAAAAAAGATTTCTTGCCTGCTTGTGTGCTATCAAGTGGTAATGCGTCGGCATGCTATTCAGCTGAGGAATTTGCTAAGCGTGGGATTGGCAAACGTGATAGTATTGATGATATTGAATTGACTGCAGAAGAGATGGAAATGTTTGTTGATTTGCATCCTTTTACGAATGCCTCTCCTTATACTGTTGTTGAGACCATGTCACTAGCCAAAGCGCTTATACTTTTTCGAGAACTTGGTTTGAGGCACCTCTTGGTTGTTCCTAAATCTTCTTCTGTAAGTAATCTGAATACTGCTGAACATTGTTCTTGCTGCTAAAGTTTCTATTGGTTTTATATGATATTTAAACACAAATCAGCATTACTTGGATTCTGTCATGTTTATTAAATGCACAAGTAAACAGCAGAAATCTTGTTCAAACTAAATTATTTGGTTACTTTTGGTTAGATTGCACTTTAACTTATTTCATCTGAATAGTCTGCAACTTAACTGATACAAAGCTTTATCAAGTGTTATTTGTCTTTCTTTAGTATGTTCTTGCTACTAGTTTGTAGTCCATTCCCAATGATATTCTAACTTGACATAAACCAAACTAATCCTCTTTTGCACGTGATGGTTGCATGACATAGGAGGGGATCTTGTTTTGCGAGGGCATTCTTGGGATTTTGGAGAGTGTGAGGGCATTTCTGGGATTTTAAGTTGTGAGGAATGTTCAGGGGAAGATTTACCTTGGATGAAGTGGTGTCACGTGACACCACTTCATCCAAGGTGTAACTCTTTTTTTCACGAAGAGTATGTAGATATGTACTATTTAGCCATTACTTGTTAGGGCAACGAAGGTCACCTGTTCAAGGGCTAACATAATCAAGAAGAAAAGCTTTTTTCCCCCTCAATAAGATTTGGCATGCTTCTAAGTTTTTGTAAAACAAACTATTTTGCACGCTACATGATATATACTGGAAAAAACACTCAGTCAATTAGATTATATGTACTTAAGTCTAAAATAGGTGGGACTTAAATACTATCCTCATGTTATAAGATAAGAAGAAGTTTGTTCTAATAAGTTGGATTCAAGTGTTTTCTAATATATATCCTATCAGTTGATGTTACTAAAGTGTGATTTTATTAGTATTACTGATGATGTGATTACGTACATTTCCTAAAATATGAAGACTCATCAATACAATTATAAAATTTTTAATTATTAATTATGTGGTGAAACCGCTTTCTGTAAATTCTGGATCCGCCATTGGGAATATTTGTATTTTTTAATTGTGGCTTAAATAGGGTAGAACCTTCAAAAGGTGTGACTAGAAAAGGGGCTTCTCTCAAATAGATAGTATATAGAAGCATGAACTGAAAATTCAGCAAGTTGAGATATAGAACAAGATCAGCATCATCTTCAAACATAAAATAAGATCAGCATCATCTTCAAACCGTACCATTTTTAACCATACTAGTTCAACTTACACTCTTTTTTGCAAGTTCTTTCATCCGATGAGTCTGCATATAACTGTTACAAAGTGTGCATGCTATTATGCTTGGTTTTAAACCTTACGAGGTGCTTTATTGTGATATTGCAGAGGGCTCCGGTGGTTGGAATCTTAACGAGGCATGATTTTATGCCTGAACATATACTTGGATTGCATCCTTTCTTACTGAGGAGCAAGTGGAAGAGATTACGATTCCAGCGGTCTACTTTAGCCAAATATTTCAGAAGTTTCATTCTTGGTCGTGTCTCAGCAGATCCAGAATAGGCAGAGGGAGGAAGGAGAGCGATCGATCTCCAATTCTTCAATAGTAGAGGTTATTATTCATCAGAGTTTTGTTACATATATATGTGAGTTTGAGAGTTGCAGTCTCTTTCAATTTGTTGTTGATTTGTTGTGTATATCCATTAATCCATTATTTGTTGAAACATAAACAATGTGAATTTTCTTGTTATGTATGCACCTATTGTGTTTGCTTATGAGCATTCCTCTTCATTTGTGCGTTATTTGTTTGATTATTTTCAGCCAAATCAGCAGATTTTAACTGATTGCCTTGTGGTTATGTAGAATGTATTTTGCCCATTCACTAAACTAGATTCATTTACCAATTTCTGTAATGTACGTAGTTGTTGAGCAACAGGATGAGAACTGAGAATGCAGGTTAAATAATTTTCTTCCTCTAATACTGGAAATATGATATCCCAATTCCTCGAATACTTAGTTTTTTCCCCTCTACTTTGCAAAGGAATTGGGATATCACATTTCTTAGTAGCAAGCATTGTCATATGTGATCCAAGAATTATGAGATGATGTCATATGCATTTGAATTATTTACACCTTACAAATAAAGCTTGGCCTTCCGAAAGCTGATTTGTGTAGTGTGAAAACATCCACATAAATCTTGATAGAAAAATATAAGCGGCAGTCTGCTTCTGATTCAATTGTTTCCTATTTACAGATCAGCTTCTTGATGAATTAAAGAACTAATACAATATTTTTTGAAGAATTAGTTCTTAGCTACTCATCTGCTCTACTTAACCTCCACTGGTTGATCATCCTGAGTATGTTATTGCTACTAATGTATATTCATTTCCTATCCGATGTTTTAACGCTACAGATGTTTTCTTGCTCAAGATCAAGTGGAAGAGATTTCGATTCCGAAGATCTCCTTTGGCCAAATATTTCGGGAAGTTTTCTCCTTCGACTCGATTTCAGGAGACCCAGGATATATTGGTGGATTTGGAGGTTCTTATTCATCAAAGTTTCGTCGCGTAAGTGGAGTTGCAATCACTTCCAATTTGTTCTGTCGCACCTGTACGTCAAAGTGTTTGGTGAATCAGAAACCATGACAGTGTGAAGGTTATCGTCATGCACGCACCTGATTGTCTTTGCTTAACAGTGTTCTTCTCTACTTGCGTATCGACGTTATCGTTTGTTTCGGTACTTCAGCAGAAACAGCAAATTTTACTTGCCGGCTTCTGTTTTGGAGAAAATCTTGCTAAATGACTAGATAGCTTCATTTCCCGATTCCTGAAATCTGCACAATTACAGGTTATGTAATCTTCATCCTCTATTATTGGAACCCTGACATGCACACAAAACCACCAGGCATCGCCTTCGACTTCTTTGAAATTGCCGCCGTTCTATTTCTATAGTGAATCTGTTATGAGTTTTGATTATAACCTCCTATATTCGACGAAATTCAGAAGATAGCTGGGTGGTTGAGGATTTAGTAAAAAGATGGCTGTGGATTTGGTAAAGGGAATATGAGAGGTGAAGAAGGTAAAATGACGCATCCACGTAACATTTGTGAAGTTATGACAGAATCGATGCATAGATAATGATGCGTGACGGAGGAAAGCTAAAACCCGTGTCTCGCATAATCTTGGTCTCAAGACCAATCTCTCCTATGTCCATACTTGTAATAATGTCAAGCACCCCTTGGGCTCTTTATTTTGCATAAAAGCAACTTTCGACGTTTCCCTATATAGGTATGTTAAAACAACACTACCTCATGATAATATCCCGCATATGTGGAAGTCCCGAAGAAGCGTTAACCACCTATCACATGTCAAATGCATTAAGTCGTATTTTATGAATAATGAGTAAAAATCTAGCAAAAACGACCAATATAATCTATTATATGAATAACATATTGTCTTACCTCAAATGTACTTTATGTTTACTTGAATTGGGGAAAAGAAGCGTCTCGATCATGTGCAAAGTATATGCACGTGTATGTTGCTAGATCATGACATGGGATGCATCTTCTGGCAAGAGGTTTGTGAAATTTTCTTTTAGCCACTTCAATCTAATATATCCCCGGGCAAGGACTCCGGAGATAGCCTAACAACTCATCACAAATTCGACGCCACACATGTCTATCAGTCCCCGTAACACAAGGGCCATCAATGCGGAGACCAAGGATCACTGCTACGACATGGAGAGTAATAGTCACCTTGCCAACACGTAGATGAAAAATATTAGTCTCTGGCCTCCATCTATCCATCAAGGCATTAAGTAGTGTCCAATCGAGTTTCATCCACCGTAATTTTGAGCATGTGAGAAAACCTGCTTGGGCTACTAAAGCAATCATACACGGATCTTCAAGTGGCCATCGTGTATGTCTGAGGCTATGATCAATCATAACTAGCTCCGGTCCTCTGTGCACAAAAATGAAAAAAATATTAGCATTGACTCAATGAGTAAGTAATATGTGACTATAAATTCAAAAAATTTATGACTAAACATATAAGAATCATTACCTCTGTAAATGATATACTCTCAGAACGGTGTCGTGACTGATCATATAGGACTTCATCACTTACCGGCTGTAGGGTGAATATTTGATTTCCCGAAAGAGGGAGTTTCGTTTGTATTTATAAGAAGGCTTATTACAAACTAATGATCAAATAGTTACAACAGAAGCAGAGGGAAGGCCCTCTTTGTTTTATGTGGGGACTTTTAGGTGGCTACAGGATGCTTCGCTCGATGCTCGTGTCGAGTCTGCTTCCCTTGGACCGTTCGAATGAGGTTGCTGGAGAGCTTCAGTTCGCAGTAGAAGCTCAACTTGAGAGAGTTCGGGTCTGTTTAGTTCGCCGGCGATCGGAGCTCGGAACTAAGCAGTAATGCTGCAATGCAAAGAAAGTCTTTGCAGAGAGCTTGGTCTCAACTCTTTTTTTTCTAAGTTTTGCGACCTCCTCTCCAGTGTGCCGGAAGAGGCTTTTAAATGGGAGAAGGACAACTTGACTCCTCCTTGAATTGTGGGATGTGACCACATCTTCTTCAGAGACGTCTAGCTGTTCCTCGAAACCATGATCGGTCATTCCAGGGATTGTGCTTTATGTCCTGTCACCTACGATGGGAAGGCCCATTCTTGTATGTGAGGCAACAAACGACTACTATCTGAGTGGATTTGACCAGCATTAATGAACCGCATTTATGAGTCCGCAGATCGATGAGGCGTCTGTCCGATCACCAGTACTGTTCGTGACCGCCCGGCGTGCTTTGAGCACGACGCTTTCTCCTTTCCGGTCAGAAGAGGCGGTGAAGTAGGTGTACAGTACTCGAGTGAGTCTAGCCAGCTTGCCGAGTGCCGGCGGACCCAGCTCCAGACTCAGACAGCCGAGGTGAGTCGCATTTATGAATGCTCAGGTTGACTCGACACCTGTCCAGCTCCTTCGCGCTGTGCGCACTGTGGGCGGCCGTTTTGACGGCCCTGGGGTACTGTGCTCTCTCTCCCTTTGGGTCGAGAGAGGTGGGAAGGCCCACCTCAGCACGTGGGGTAGTGGATACCCAGCTGTACTGACGGTTTTGGGGCTTGCTGGCGGATTCGACTCCGAACTCGGGCAGGCGAGTTGAGCGAAGAGCAAATTTCCGCCATCCTGATCGCTCCTGACTCATGCTGGCGAGTCGACCGTTAGGCGAACCTGGATTTGAGCACAGTCGACGTCTACGCGGTTTAGGTCCGTGCCAGAGAACTGGGCGTGTGAACTCTTCTCGTAGGCAAATTTCCTGTAGACCCATAGAGGTATTTTTTACCGTCTACAAGACCCCCTTCAAAGTTTTCGGACCTAAACTGGCTTGCGTGTGGTCTGGAACACTTTGAATGAAGAAACTGTTGGCGAAGCAAGTGCCTTCGATTTCTCTTAGGATTTTTAGCAAACCCTCAGCTATCAACGGGTTTGATGTGCCTTTACCGATTACCGTTTGAATCGGGCTAGCCATACTATTCTCCTCAGTATGATGAGTTGTCGAACAGTTTCTCTTAGGCTTAATGCTAAGATTTCTGCTCTAACCCTTAGCCATCTGGGGCGTGGGTTTCAACCGTTTAAGCTAGGTCATTCTTTTGGCTTTGTTCGCAATTTTACCTTTGAGGGCGAATGCATCGTAGAGGCGAAATTAATTTTTGAGAGCCAATTCTCGCGCGACTCGTGGGGTTATGCCCAGTATTTGCAGGCGAAACCCTTCCTTTTGTAGGCGGAACCGGATCCGACGAGAGATGAGCCACGCGTCTGCTGACAGAGCCTCGTGCTTCCCAGCTAAGACATTGGATCGTGGCGATCGTGACTTGACAGCACGATCCTCGTGCGTTTCGCCCTGCGACGTATCGTGGCCGTGGTTCTCGGACTCAACCGTCGGATTCAACCGCTAATCTCGGTCCCTTCGGGATCCACCCGCCAATCTCGGTCCCTTCGATGCACTGAGGGTGATCTGGGCCGTCGAATTTGATCGTGGCCCCGTTTCCTGTCCGTTAGGGTTTTCGCCTTTCGAGGGCAGTCGTGGCCACGTGGACAACTCCGCCCTTCTAAATCAGCCGTTTTCCTCCATTGGGATTTACCGTGCTTTCAAATCTCGAAAGGGAACATCCAAGGAAAGAATTCCCGCTTCCTCTTACAATGGCTCCGAAACCTAAGAGGTGCAAAGTGAGGGGTGCAGGTCCCGGACGTTCCTCCGACCGTCTCTCTGCCGGCATGCCTGCTGGTGCTCTGGAGTCGTGCCCAGGTACGTTGATGGATTCGTTGGGCGATCCCTTGCAGGCCTTAGGCGTCGGATTTAGGGAGATGAGTGTTGCTTATTTCCCCGATTTGGGGCAAAGTTTGCCCTATTTTGCCTTTAGAGGATGAGTACTGTCCCCGCGGGCGAATTCTCCAGTGGGGAGGAGACGAACCCCTTTTTCGTAAGGCGAGTTCGGCCCTTCCCATTAGAGGGGAGTGTAGTCCGTAGGGACAGACCTCGTTCGAAGTGGGTTCCCCCTTTCGATAGGCGATTTCGCCTTCCTATGTTCGATGGGCGATTTCACCTCTACAGCGGATTTTGTCTCAATTGACTTTCTATTTCTTGTTGCAGCGACCTTCCCTGATGAGGCTTTCCCGGAGGGTGTGGCCGTTGGCCACGTCGGGGCTAAGAGCTACACGGCCCCTTCTCGTTTTCCCTCGTTGGCTCCAGTACCCTTGTTCACTGCTGATAAGCTGCATGGTCTGGTACAGAGGGTCACGGATGGTCA